TGCAGGACGACCTTTTCTTCGGCTCGAACGGAGGCCTCAATAGCTTCTAGACTAGTATAAAGGAAAATTGCTTTTGCCCATAGCAAATATAGATCATTTTCCGATAACTTAAAATTGAATCTAAAGTTTGGGTAACTTCGGGAAAAGAAAATAGGTTTGATCCCTAACTTGAAAGTTCTTCCTTTTATTTTGATAGGGGATTCTTAAAAGATCTTAGGGCTATTTTGAAAGAGGCCACTAGACCTATAGATAGTTTTAACTCTACCAATTCCAAGAGATAAGTCATAAAATCCAAGAAAGACCACTCGAATGATGAAAAAAAGAGGAAATCTTCCAAAGATTCTATAAAGAGGAAAGAGAAAAAGAATTAGTATAACTATTGTCAAATCCTAGCAAGAAGATGCAAAGAAAAGAAACTCATCACACCCAATATTAGGGTTGACATCCCTAATTTTGATCTCCATAGGAGTGGTAGAAGTGCCGGCTAAGTCGGTTGCAATGTTAATGTCATCCATAGTAGCAACGATCCTAATAGAAGGTTCTAAAGGCACATTGCTTATATGGGTTACAATCTCAATTCCAACTACGAGCTTATAGTATTTACTTTAACCTCGGTAGTATCTAGAAATCTTATCTCTAAGAAAGTTAAAAGGACATTCGTTGTTTAAGCATTAGGGTTTGGAATCTCATTTTTTTCTTCCTTAGCCTCAAAGTATCTTGGTTACCTGCTCATGAGAGAGTTGAAGAAATGTTTGGCACCTCAACCTTAATAGTATTTTGATTTTTTTGACTCGATATAAACTAGATGAACATGTGAGGTTATGAGAGACTTATTGCCAACTCTAATAAAATGTGTTTTATACACCACATTGAACTGCTCCTAAAAAGGTTCCATTAATGGAACTTCATCTTACAATTAAAGTATATCATGGATAAGCATTAATTATAAATAGCATGGATAAGCATTAATTATAAACCATAACAATGATATGAGACACAAAAAGGAAGGGTTATAGCAAAACTAATTCACCTCTTTCGGAGTAGCGAGCAAAATATCCTAAAAAGGCTTGGAGTCCACGGAAAGATCAATTGAATCTCTCCTTACTCGTTTTGGAAGAAAACATATAAAGGTAGTACTATTTTTAGAGTCCTCAACATCAAAAGGCTCAAAACTCTCTTCCACCAGTAAGATGGCCTAGTGCATTTTCTTCTTTGTCTTAAGAGGTTGAAGAGAAGGAATTGGAACCAAACCTCATGGATCCTAATGGATGATTTGAGAACTCGACCACTAACAATTAGAGTAGCTTTCAAATTAGCTTCCTCTATGTGGACATAAGTCTACTTAGTAAGAGGAGTAGTACACCAAAGGGTTTTTATCTTTATTGCAACATCTAAAGGAAAAAGGGGATCAATAATAGAACTTGGATACAACAAGAGATTTTTAGTAATAATGTCCAAAAAAAAAAAAAAGAAGAACATATGAACATAAGAGAAAGAAATATACCTTTTTTGAGAAATCTTCTAACTCTTGTAAGATAATTTAGAAATTAGGGTCCTATCTTCATCTTCTTCATTTTCTTCATCTCCATTAAAAGGTTGATGAGAGTTTGGATAAGGAATGTCCTTAGATATCTTCTTTTTGAAGAAGTCTTTATTAAGGATTACGATCGTAGCCCAATCTTAGAATCCTTGAAATGATGGCCTCGGATCATTTTAGTCTACCAAGCTATGAAGGTGGTTGTGCTGTCTAAGCACTTAGTTAACTTTGAGGAAGTTCAATTATGGAACTATAGAGTTCCATAATTTTTTCCAAGAAATGTTGAATTACATCTCTTTTAAAAGACCTATTATCATGCTTAGGATTATTATACAATATGAGGAGAGTGATAGAAATATCCTAAAAGAGTCTAAATTACATAACCGAGAAGATTAGGAAAGTAGGTTTTACAAGATAATGATTAGTAAAGTAAAAAAGTTATTTACAAGTTAGGACTATTTTCCAATGGTCTAAATTATCCTTTTTCAAAACACCTTAAATAGTTCAAACTTTGTATAAATCGGGACTAAATAGCCTCTAATGAAAAAAAAAACCCATAAAGAATTAACAAAACTATCAAAACAAATGCCAAAGACACAATCTTCATAACTAATCATGTTTATGGGAGGAAAAAAAGTAGCAAAGTAATGGCCATATGAAAGGAAGGCCTTATTGGAATTAAAGTTAGAAGAATTAATGACAAGATTTGGAAAGTAAGCTTAAAAGGCCAAAGGAATTCTTATGAAAAGGGTTAGTAAAAACAACTTCAAACATGTTGTGATTGGCATAAGCATGAAGTAGAGGTGCGGATGCAATAGGCTCTATATATTATGACATAGCAACAGCCATAGGAATATATTTTATACTTATGGTGGTGCTCTTACAATAAACAACATACTTATAGAGCCATAACAAATAGAAGGCAACCTTTACGGAATCTAGATCCTTGGTAGTTGGCAAAGCCAAAGCATAGATAGAATAAGACTTGACATCCATTACCACATCCGTGAATCTAATCATATAAGTGACATCTATTTTAGTTGTCACTATAGCATTACATAGATCCAATCCCACCGGAGAATAACTAGTTAAAGACACCATATCTTCTAGGGTGATGCCTATTGGGATTTTTTATGGATACAATTGTTAGTAGTATCCCACAAACTTAAAATAGCCCAAAAAAGAGGAGGATTGGGATTAAGAGTATGGTTGGTGGTTAAGTTGAATATTTCAAACATTCTCATCTTCCGCCATTTCCTTCAAACATTGGAATGTCCTTACAATGCATTATAAAAGGCAACAATCTTAAGATGAGATTTTAGCCACATTCGATGGAAAACTTGGTATAACTTTTGAACTTGTTCCATTCCACCCCCTTTGTAGTTATAGGATGGTAGAGGAACATAACTCTTTCAACGAGGGATCAATTGCTTCAAGAGTTTCTATGCTCTTTGAACTTAATCCTTTGACCCATAACCCTAAAAAAAGAATGTCCCTAAGGAATGAGGAATAATCTTGGAATGAAAATCAATAGAAGCCTTATAAACTTTAGTAAGGGAATATAATAAAAGGTAATGGATTAGAGAAGGATGGGTGGAAAGAACATATTTGAAGTGATGGTCTAATTACAAGGGCAACCCAAATAGAGATTGGAGTGGGGAAATAGATCTATGGGATTTGGAAGGAGATTTATTGTTGAAAGTGATAAAAAATGAATGGGTAAAAGGATGGATAAAAAGATCGATTACATACACGAAAGAGAACGGGGAAGAAGATCATTAGAGAGTTTGAATTGGAAATCGATTCAAAAATGAAAAGGTAATTGAAATCTCTTTGTATTAGTACATGGTAATCGAAGAGACATGTGAATTTAAATTACCATTATAGAGTGAAAAGACGTACTAGTTCTAGTATCCATTGTAGCCTTGGGAATTAGAGGGAGATAAACGGGGCCAAAGCAATTATTTCTTTTTACACGTAAGAATTAATTTCACATGCAAAAATGGAGGTAGATGTTATATTCAAATTTAATTAGGATCTAACATCCCAATTAAATTAGCTAGAGCCTAATGAAGCTTCGGTTATAAAACCTTGAAAGCTATTAATGCGTCCAAAGCCTAATTCACTAGATAAAATTCAAACCAACCCACACAAGGAAAAGGCCCAAGAGTTTTACACTCAAAGACGGAAAGACTTAGTATAAGTCTTAACCAAGTGGCATCGTGGGCAAATGATATGGGAAGCCAAATCCTCTATATCAAGAGAAGGCTAATAGAATTGAGTAAGCTGGAACAAAACATGATATGTTGCAATGAACGAGTGAGAATACTAGAGAAAGTGGAGCATTGTGGTCCAAGGTAAAAAAAAAAAAGTCATTGTAATTCAAGAACATATAAGGTATAGAAGAATGTAGAAAATTAGGAGGGTTATAGATATCGACTACATCCATGTGAACAAAACACATACACAATCAACAACAACAATTATAATACAACTCTTGTAAATTGTCGACTTTATCTTTTAGTTCAAACAGGTTGAAAAATAATAGGCTATAGTTTGTAAACAATAATAAAGTAGGCTGATAAATTGTCCTTGGTTTGATTTCCACTTTTGTTTCAACACATATATATTATTTTTATTAATATCCAATTTAATTTATTTACATAGTCATTTTAGTCGTCTAATGGAGAGTTTAGAAGATAGATTGCCATGTAAATTGTTTTTCGGCCATATCATAAAATATTTTGCTTAAAAGTTCTTTTAATTGAGACATATACAAAAGAATCTACAATAGTGTCTAATGTGCAAAAAACCATATTCATTCCTTCATTAGTTTATAGTAGTGTTAAGCTAAATTGTGTGTTTGACATCATAAAATATTTTGTTTAAAAGTTCTTTTAATTAAGACATACACAAAAGAATCGACAATAGTGTCTAATGAACAAAAAACCATATTCATTTTTAATTAGTTTATAGTAGTGTTAAGCTAAATTTTATGTTTGATGTATAAAAAAGGCTCATTCTTGAATAATCTTCTTAGAAAATTTCAGTGAATTTTTAATACTTTTTATGAAAAAAATATTTGTTATTTTATTGTTTATCATTATTGTAAGAAAAGTTTTCCATGCAATAAGTTGTTTGCCAAAAATATTAATGTATTTTTTTGATTAATATATCACCAATAAAATGACTATTGAGCAAAAAATAATTAATCCTTTCTTTATAAATATATTATAGTTGTAAGGTTTGTTGTTTGTTTGTTTGTTTTTTTTTTTTGTTTTTTTTTTCAAATGTTAAAAGATAATTTTTGCATCGAAATTAATACCCTTTTCGTATTGTATGAGGTACGAGGGTTGAAAACCTTTTACCTAATCATGAAGTAGTATAAACATCAGGGTTTCCCTCCAATGGAAGAAGTGAGAAGGAGAGAGACAGTGGAGAGCAAAGACAAGAGAGACTAGAAATGGGGTGGGCAATTGCACTACACGGTGGCGCCGGAGATATACCACTCGCACTTCCACCAGAGCGTCGACTTCCTCGCGAGGCAGCTCTCCACCAGTGCCTCCAGATTGGTGTCGCCGCTCTGAAAGCCCAAAAGCACCCCCTCGATGTTGTCGAACTTGTGGTATGTACTACGTAGTCATTTCACAAAGATATACTACCGTAAACTGAATCCATGACCTTGATCTTTATTAGTCCTTTAAAGTTGATGATCTCTTGTTTCCACTAGTTTTCTTTAATTTTATTATTTGATCGGATAAGCCCAACTTTCTGTTCTTAATTAATGTTGCTTTTGTTTCTCAGCAAGCGCTCTAGCTATATAGTTTCAATCCTTGATTTCTATCTACTTTCCAATAATGGTATAGGTCCGGGAACTGGAGAACCATCCTAACTTTAATGCTGGGAAAGGTTCTGTTTTAACCAGCAGGGGCACTGTTGAGATGGAAGCTTGTATCATGGATGGAAATACAAAGAAATGTGGAGCTGTTTCTGGTCTCACTACTGTTGTTAATGCCATTTCTCTAGCACGATTGGTCATGGACAAGACTCCTCACATATATCTTGCATTTGATGGAGCTGAGGCTTTTGCCAGGGAAGAAGTGAGTCATACTCATTCTTTCTTCCTGCAATATCTTCACTATCTACCCACCTAATGTAAATTTTACTTTTGTTCTCTCGAAGTTTACTTTGTTTCATTTTTCCCAGTCGCAGTTCAGTGTGATTCCCTGCTTCTAAATACCTATTTTAGTTGTTGTTAGACCTAAATTCTCAAAAATTCTGTAAATAATATCAGGAAAAGAATTTATATAATTTTGTATTTACAGCATTTTCAATATTATATTTGATAGTTGAGATTGAGTTCCATTTAAAAGATTTAAACCTTGTGATGGATGGCTTTTTCTCAATTGTATATATTACTTATCTATTATTGATTCGTAAAATAGATTCTCGAACTCTTCTCCTCACTTCTAATCTATCTTTTAGGGTCTCTTAAGTGGCTTGACCTCTAGGATTTTATTCAATATGGGATAGGTTCTCAAACAAATATTATCAAATTTAAATTTATCTTGAAAAATTGGTAAAAGATTGTATTTAATCTCTATATATGTGGAATCTTTTCATTAGGATTTTCATGTGTATCTCTGGCCTTTTGAATTCACTAGGGTGCTGAGACTGTTGATTCAAGTCGTTTCATTACTCCAGAAAATATTGAGAGGCTGAAGCAGGCAAAAGAAGCTGACAGAGTCCAGGTATGCTTCTCCCCTCTCCTATATAGCTCAGTATCAGATTCTGGCATGTTTGAATTTTGATTCAAGCGATCTTAGCTTGGTATGTTGTTTGTCTTTACCATCTGCAAGGTGCATGCCAGTATAATCATGGTTTACCAAGTTGCTACACATTTCCTTTCGATTGGTGAAAATGTAAACGTTAAAATTCCACTGCTGTGAATCTTGATATTTAATATGAAATGACTGGAGCATGACAATGATTGCATCTTATTATTTTTTGAATGGTTGAAATGCTATATCAATGATTAGAGATCTTCTAGATATCTTGGGTGTTTTGCACAACATGACGTGCAAGCCATATAATACTTTGATGGATCTTTTGATTTTAAGCTTTAATTTTTACTATGCATCCTCAGATCGATTACACACAACCCCTTCAGAAAGATGAGAAAAGTGAGAGTCCAAATGTTAACGGAGATAGCCAAATTGGAACTGTTGGATGTGTGGCTGTTGATGAAAATGGGAACTTAGCCTCAGCAACCTCTACTGGTGGGTTGGTAAACAAGATGGTGGGTAGGATTGGAGACACGCCCATAATAGGGGCAGGGACATATGCCAACAATCTCTGTGCAGTTTCTGCTACAGGCAAAGGGGAAACAATTATGCGTGGGACTGTTGCTCGTGACGTGGCTGCTCTTATGGAGTATAAAGGTCTCTCTCTCAAGGAAGCAACAGCTTACGTTGTTGAGTGTAATCCAAGAGGGGATGTTGGGATGGTTGCTGTGTCTGCCAAGGGAGAAGTCACCATGCCATTTAATACAACTGGGATGTTTCGTGCTTGTGCTACTGAAGATGGGTATTCAGAAGTAGGAATATGGCCTTCAGTGCAAGATTGAGTATTTTGGTGAGCTTCCATTGGTTAAAAGTCACTTGGTTATCGAATGCTAGAACTTGCTTAAAATGTGTAAAGAATTGCTTCGTGTGTAATTTTCTAGGAGAGAAGTTGAGAGTGATCAATCTTAAAATGCTTGAAAATCATTGGCCTTAGGTTTTGAATCAACACTAAAAAAGAGAGTTCCCAGCTGAGCGTTTCAAGTGTTTATTTGGGTAACCCCTCCACCCCCCCCCCCCCCCCCCCGCGCCGGCGTCACGGTTAATGAGTGCTCTCAGTTTGATGTTGCTTGGATAATTTGTAACATGAAAATTAAATTCTATTTATTTTAACATTGTGGTTCTATTAAAATTCAATATTATTATGACTATAGTATCATTATTTCTTTGTAACCACTCCTTTAGTCATTAGCAATTTGATATCTGAACTATTTGCTAGTAAGTTTACTTCAAGATCATTAATACTTTTTACTCAATTTTCTTCCAAACAACCATATTACATGTCCGCAATGTGCTTATGGAATGCCAAAATTGTCTAAAGAAATTTGAGAACGACAAATCTCAACGTGAATTTTTTTTACTCATTCTAGTGTGTATTAGTTTGATGGTTTAAACAATTCTGTTGGTCTATTAAAATATATCGAATATAAGGGGAAAAAAAACTATTTTTTCAACTAATTTTATAGTTTTTTAATAAAAAATTTTATTTTAATTAATTCTTTCTTATTTTTTTAATATAAATTTACTTGACAAAACATGATTTTGTTTCTTTAGGCATGAATTTTTAAATAAAAATTTATAATAATTTAAAGAGTAAGTTTCAATAAAAAAATGCTCGATATTTTTCATAAAATTGTATTTAAAAAATAAAGATTAATGAAAAATTATATAAAATTAAAAAATATATATTCTTATTGAATATTAATGAGATAATTATTTTTTGAAAGTAAGTACATTAGGTTTATACATATTTATTCACAAAATGATCAATAATATTAGCATAACAATACTAATCTTATTTGAAACGTATGGTATTTTCCGATGGTTTTTAAAACATCTTTTTAATTATTTTATTTGAAGAGAAATTGATTTTAGATTATCCAAAAATTAATATAAATAAATAATGAATGGTTGGTGTATAGTTAATTTTCAATAAAACACATGATTTTTTTTTTTCTTTGTGTGAATGTGTTTTGAATATGTAGTCTAAAATGAAAATTATTACAAAAATACTTAACATGTACAGAATATATTGAATAAATTAAAAGTTAATGGATTTAAATAAAAATGACTACAAAATTAATTTTAATGAATTTTGATTATATAAAGAATAAGTAAATAAAAAATGCGAGAATTCAATTTTTTTTTCATTTAAGAAAATATATTTTTTTCAAACTACTCATGCTTAGTCTCTACGCATAGGTCTCACAAATAGAGCAATCACTTCATTTTCTTTCACTTATTATATTTAAATATCTTTGAACTTTAATTAAAGGTAGTTCATTTGTAAAGCATTGATTCTGTTTGTTTGTAAGCCCATCTTTATATAAAGACATTTAATTTCAATTGCTCATCATTGAAGTTTAGAAGAAGCATAGAATTAGTGTTTCTCTTTTGCAAAGAAAGTGAGTATATGAGTGTGTTTGTACAACCGTCTTCTTGTAACCCTTATCTTGAAGGTTCTTCTATAATATATGTTTTATTTCTAATGATCCGGTCGCACTTGGTATTAGAGTCTCTTAGGTTTTGATGGAGATAAAAAGATTTAGAGATTAGCTAGATTGTGCTATTTAGGTAGGTTGAAAGGTAAAGCGGGTAAAACCATAGTCATATGATAAGTCCTAATTGAAGCCTAGTTGAGGCATGTTTAAGCTATAAATCGTTGACATGTTTAAGCTATAAATCATTGACGAGTGATCCTTAGAAACCTATTGTGTTTGGATTGTCTAGATCTTGACTCGAATCTTCTTTTTCTTCACTACCTCCCATAGCTAGCACTTCGAGTTCTAATAAAGAAATAATACTAGTGGTAAAATTTGACGAGCGAGTTGTAGGAGTGTAAATTAACTAATACTTTTGTAAAAACCATATACAAAGGTTTTTCAAATTTTTTATTTGATTATTTTATCAAGTCGAGTAAATGAAATTATTCATTTAAAAGAGAGATATGATACATTCCGAGTTACCATCCAAGAGACTAATTGAGTCTCACAAAAAATAATACAAGTACTTGTATATGGAAATAGTTCAAGTAGGGTTAAAACCATTAACAAGAATCGAACTAAATACGCCCATCGTGGTGCTAATAAGAGATGAAATGCACAACGTCTTTAAGTATCCCTTATTAAGAATCATAGAATCCACCTTTTGTGATGGACCTATTCACTTTGGGTGCTTTCCCAACTTCACAAGATCCCTTTTAGATCAAAACCTTCTATAGCTTAAACCTTAAATATCAAAACCAATGGTTTCATATGCTTAGAGGATTAGAAAACATTGCCTAATTTACAAGGTATGTTATAAGGTCATGAATACCTTAGTGCCTAGTATCAAATGAACCACTAGAACTAATGAGTTCTAAAAAAGAGAAACCATCATGTTCCTCATCGATATATCCAAATCTAATTTAGTTGTTCCCAAAACGAGTTGAATGGAGTCAAGTCTTATTACCGGAGACATGGTAGTTAGAACAAGTAGCTCCTTCCAAAAAGGAAGAACCTAGAGAACCGAGAGAAGCTTACCCGAGTTCATTAATGAAGACATAGAGATTTCCTTTTATAAAAATTAAACTAAACCTTGGAAATCATCCCAATACCTCATCCTTCAGGTTCTTAACCTCTTCTATCCTTATATCAAAGATAGAAAAAGAGTTAGTTTTTGATCTCAAAAGGTCCGGATCTCAAGTAAGTCACCCTCAATACAAGATCGACTTCACGGCTTCGAAGCATCATCTAGGCCTAATAGTAGGGTTTTTGCTCCAACAATACGGATATAGGATATAATATAGCCACCTTGTAATAGGGAATAATATTTTCCTCTCTTCATAAAATATTTAATGATCCTAAAAAGGAGCATCACAAGAAATGGTTCTTGGCCAACTTAAGTTCTAAATAATAGAATTAGTATCTAAAAAAGTATATGGAACATGTTTCTATAACCCGTATAGGGTTATATTTCCTAAAAACGCTAAAACAATTCTTTGAACACAATAAAAAACCTTAATTGGATTTCAAAGGCACTACTTTCTTGGCAACTCTTGAAGCCACTTACCAAAATTTCCAAACTCAACCTATCAAATCCATATATCTTCTCGAGTCTTCTCTCTTAATTACTAAAGAAGACAAATCCTCTTACGAAGCCCCCTATAAAGCCGAGGTAAATGATGATTTTACAACCATATCATCTAGTACAATAATTATACCAACCTTTACATCCAGTCTCCGAGTAAATAGACAATTAGAATAGAGTAATCTATTTAGTAACCTAGAAAAGTTGCCTTTACTAGAATAGAAAAATCTATTCAGTAACATAAAAAGTTTGCTATCGAGAAGGGAGAGTCTTTTAAGAAACCTCAAGATCATGTCCTTTAAAAGCAATTCATCCTTTCAAAAGGATGATTACAAACTATAATCTAAAGACAGTGATTTCATGGATGAACTGGTAGGAAGCCTTGAGAAACTAAAAGTTTTAGAAGGCAAAGCTAAGACATTAATTCATATCTTAGAAGAGGTAGAGCAAATTTTCCTATTAGAAAAACATGCTAAATTTAAGCCTAGGTTAGTTAATAAACTAACTAAGAGAGGAGCCATTTTAGTCGCACAAACGAATTACTATTACCTTAGACTTTCTCTTATGGATTTTCATTTGAAGATATTGGAAATTATAACCTAATTTCATATTCAGGAGACTCCATTCAAGAGTGGAACATTAATGGGATGTATGAACATCAAATTAAAGCCACACTAAAATACATGCTTATGTTCTCATCAACCGTCACACTCAAAGGTAATAGAAAAAAGAAACAACTATTGTTATTGCCAACAACTTTACAGGACAACTGCAAAGATGATGGGATTTCTAGCTATCTAATCATGCCAAACAAGAAATCCTCTCAATAGTAAAATAAGTTACTGCTTTTAATACTAATAGAGCATTACAAAACAAAGTGGAACCGGACACAATCAATACACTAATATGAATGATTGTTACACACTTTATTGGTGCAAAATGCACTCTAAATTTATAGGTCTCAAGAGCAACCGATGAATCTAAGATGCCTAACCTTATCACACTATAAGGATGTATTCATCACCAAAGTCATGAAAATGGCGAGACTATAGAGTTGACTACTAGAAAAAGAAGTTCATTTTTGGACTTCTCCCATTATTTATAGAAAGAGTTTATAGCGAGTTAAAAATTCTTATGATGGGATCATCTTGTACTCTAACCTCAACTATGATGAACTCGCGATATAAGCTATCAAAGAAGAAATCAATATGTGGAATGACATCAAGCTGAAGAGATAGCGTGACAAATAGAAGAAGACAAATAAGAAGATATTGGAAAATTTTATGAATAGATTGGCTATTCTCGTCTAAAGATTTCTAATGATAAATCCAATAAGAAAGAAATTTCTAGTAAGAAACAATATTTCAAGAGAAAATCTTATAATAAAAAAAGAGGTTATAAAAATTCTTTAGTAACTTCTAGCTTTAAAGCTAAAGTTAAGAAAGTAAAACTGTTGCAAACAAGGAGCACTCGCAAAAATAATTTTCCGGACAAGAAATGGATTAACTAGTTGGATATAGACGAAGGAGTCAAACAAAGTGTTTTTTGAATTCTTCTTGAAGAATAAAATGGCAAAGACTTAGTTGTCAACATCATAGAGGACTCATCAAAAGAAGATAAATCATCATCATCCTCCGACGAAGAAGGAGAAACTTTTTAGCATCCTATAAAAGATTGCAAGGAAGGATGCAACTATGATAGTTGTCTTACTAGACAT